TATTGTTATTGTTGTTGTTGTTGTTGTTCTTATTATTACAATTGTTATGTTCATAACTATAGTTTATAAATTATTTTTTTCATCTCACTATTTTTACGATTCACACTCATTATATTTTCTTCAATTTTTTAATATGAATAAGAATTTTTTTATATATTAATCTATATGATAAAACAGGAAATCATCAATATTTTAAACTATATTAAAAGATTAATTATGGATAAAATAGTTACATAGAATATTTTATTAATCTAAATTTATATAAGACCTCTCACCTTACCCTTTATTACTCAAAATTTTCTCATTTTTCTAATATTTATAAAGAAATTGAAAGTCAAAATAGTTTAGAAAAAATACTAAAATATGAGTAAAACATAAAAAATGTAAAACAAATTCTATGTCTTTATTCCAAAAATAGGACTTACAATGAAAATAAAATGTCAATCATTAAAGAAAAAAAATAGCTTTAATTATATTACGTGACATGTCTGATATTTAAAACAAAATCTTTTAATATATAAAGTATAATTACATATATATTATTTATAATAAATACAACATAAATAAATTCAGGTGTAACATAACCACAAAAACTGTTTTAAATTTAACATTTTGATATTTATGCTAACTTTATATTATAATGTTTTTTTGCAAAAGTAATTTTTTGTATTTGAAAAATAACAATACTTTTTTTGTCTTAAAGGCATTCATCAAGATAACGTGATGATGATGGTAATGATTATGATGATGATGATGATTATGATAATAATAATAATAATAAGAGTAAATTCTATAATTGGTCTTTTATAACAAAGGGGTTTCCCTATTTAGTGTTCTATTATCAAATATTACCCAGTGGTCCTTCTTTTATGAGTATCTTTCCACAAATAGTCTTTTTTTGATCTTCTATCATGTGAGAGTTAATTTGAGGGCTTAAAGTGTAATTTCACAATGATAATATATCTTTTTGATCATACACAATTCCAAAAGTTGTTCTGTTTGCATCGTTTGTGAATTACATTCGCTTTCTACTACAACCATAGTCTACAAATGTAGTCTTTCGTCGGAATCCTAGCCCATAATCATAGTCATTATTTTTGTGTTATCTGTTTAACCAATATCAGAACACGTCACTAGACATAATGTTGATGTCAAATTATAATTTTAGCCTTTAAATTAACACATACATGGCAGAATTAGAATTATAACAACAACAACAATAATAATTTATAACACCAAGAATTAGAATTAGAATAATATACAAATACACTAAAGTAAATTTTTTAAAGCTTTTTTAGGTTTTCGAAATTTTTGGTTCCTTCTAGTTTTTTCCAGTTTCTTCCAACATCCAACTCTTTTTTTTCATTCCTAAAGAAGAGGCTCTAAGTCTCATTTTCATTACAACAACATTCCTTCCCAATCTAAAGCTTATTTTTGCAATCTTGAGTGTTCTCTTAAGTTTTGTTCTTGATTTTTCATTACTCTCTTGAGTTTAAAGCTTTCATTATTTTATAGACTCAAACAAAAGGGCATTTATGATTCATTATTTATATTTGTCCTATAGGCTATTGTTGTTATTGATTTTATACTTTGTTCTTCTCCTACCCAACTCATATTATTTATTACTTTGGTAGAGAAGCAACAACCATTTCTATTGTTTTGTAAAAGGTGTGGATAGCGTTTAAATCGGCCTTTTTGTGTAAGGTTGAAGAGACCCTTTAAATCTTCAGGTTGAAAGCACTCAAGATCGCCGTTGTAAAATCTAATTTGCTTATTGGCAAGGGTTATTTGCCGAACCTCATTTGAGTCTTCTTAGTGAAGCCAAACTAATTAGTGGAGATTTAGTCCTTGAGGAGGAGCCTCGAGGTGCAAGAGTGGGGGGNTGTGTCATAATTTTACTTTTCTTACTTCTCTTGCTCTATTTCCGCTATTCTTTTTTCTGCCTAAGTTTTTTTATCAAAAAATTTTTAAACACCCTAATTCTCCCCCCTTTTAGGGTGTAACCAACTTTCACTGCGTGCACGGCGGCTCATCACATGACCGGTAATTCCAAATTGTATTCTTGTTCTACTTCTCGATCTACCTATAGTTTAGCTAGGTTGCCTATCCGTATTCAAGTTCATATTTTTGTATTCTCAAACTCCTACATAATCATAGTAAGGTTCACAAACATACATACTTATCAATTAGTAGCCTAGTGTTGAGTGTAAACAACTTCCACTTACCATCATGCAACAAACAAGACCTTGAAATCAATCCAAGATTTTAATCGGAACAAACAAACAAGAGAAAGGGAGGCTGTGTGTCTGACAGTACGCCTTACTATCCAGGTGCAATTATCGCCAGAGGAATTTACTCTATGGCGGTAGCAGGGTACCGCTAGGTAGTACCTATCTACTGTTTGACATTCAAAAATCAACAAAACAACAGAGTTCGATCCAATTCCAAACCATTTAATACGTGTAATGTTTTGAAAGGTTATTGACACACAAACCATGCAAATTGCAGTAAGAAAACGTACCTGGCCATTCTCGATCAATCAATTCTAATAACATCATATATTTTTAATAAATTAGAATTTGAATCATAATCAAATAATTATCATATTCTACATTATCAATTATACGAGATTCCAAACGTGAATTTCATACATATACGAATAATCTAGCATTAGATGTCCATGTACTCACCTCGATAGATTTGACGAATAGAATAGATCACCCACTTAAACGAAGAAGAAGATAGCAGCGAAGCAGTGGTGTCTATTGATTAGAGGCGGAAGAGTTGTTTTGAGATATGTCCTTGCTTGTTCTGTTCGCAGCTAAAGAACGAAGAAGAAGCCTAATGAACGCGGGTGGGGTTATGTCGCAAGGATGAACAAAGGCTGTGTATATGTATTTATATATAGTTGTAGTTCTAGGAAATTTGATTTCCTAACTAGAGTAACCTTAGGATTACAAGGTGTTAATATTATCTTTTAAGATAAAAGCTTTTTATTTATTTATTGAACTAACTGTAAGTTCTATTTTACTCATCACGCTTTAAACGAAAGCCCAAACTTAACATATTATATACCGTTGGTCACCATTTTACGAGATCTACCCAAAAACCTAATTTTTAAATAAAATGATTCACTTTACAATTAGTTCATATTTTTGAGTCAGAAAATAACAAATTATTTTTTAAAAAATAATGACTAACTACTAAGCCGGTTTTCAGAGTGTTACACCTTGTGGACAGGAGTGTAGTCAAGAGAGACACTTATAGGAAAATGGGGTAGGACCATGTGAGAGAGGAATATGGAAATTGATTTTCCTTATATTCGACATGGCATGATGAGATATGAGGACATTTGGTTGACATATCATAGTAGTGATATCCCTTTTTTAAGGAGTGATTACCAAGAAAGACACAACATTTGGATTTGGGCTGAAACTTACTTTCGATTTCATGGAGAAGATAAGGATAACCTAGACACTCAAAAATGCAAAGAATGGATTAATCAACAGGGGTGTGATACAAAGATTCATGAGTGGTGGGGAAAGTGTTACCTCCCGCAGTGGTAATAGAATCACTGCCTTGATATGGTGAAGAAAATTGCAGCCTTGTCAAATTAGAAGTGACATGAGCATTTACACCAGTGCTTAGGTGCCAGTTATGACTTAGTTGAGAGTGATGTTCAAAGAAGTATGCGTGTGGAGGACCAGAGTACGATTCATCAAAAATTGTTCCAACAATTCCAGACACCATGTCCAGGTTTTCACAGAGTTGACAACTCACCAGACCGGATCACTAGCCACCATGTCCACGACTAGCCAAGACACCCCCACAGGCGGTTTACCGCTTGTATCACCACCGTTGAAGTAAGTTCGACCATCGAAACGCTTCCGTCTCCAATGGCCTCCAAAAAAGGGCCTACAGCTCCTGCCGCGGTATCCACCACCACCACGGCCTCGTCCCTTGCCTCCTCCATGACTAGTATTAGTAAAGAGTGTATTATGAACATCAGAGGAGGTAGAAGAGTCACCATTCTTTAATTTTAGCTCAAGTTGAACATTTAATTCCTCGAACAATAACCATGAGGAAACTTGATTAAAAGTCAGAGAGCCTATTTTCGTCCTGACATTCTGTTTAAGGGGGGCATGCATATTCGGAAAGAAGGACACATAGAGCGTGCAAAACAAGATCATTATCCGGTATGAGCTCATGATCCAGTTTAAGAGACGTAACAATACCACGTGCAGTATCAATATATTTTTGCATGGAGTCAGTCCCTTTACGAAGACCATGAAGACGCTTCTTGAGTTGAAATATGTGTTCTGGACAAGGGATGGTGCCTTTATTGGAGATAAGCGCATATTTTTGCTAAATACGAGAGAGTGAATATGTGCTTGCACACTAGGAGACACAATAGCTAGAAGGCATGCCCGATTTTGTGCATCTACAATCATCCAAGTGTCATGGGCTGGATTAGATTTCATGACTTCTAGAGAATCTTTAGATGGTACAGGGGCCTTGTCGTCGATAATGAGCGGAGGAGGCGCCAGTTCGGTTCCATCAACATAAGAGAGAAGACGATGTGCAATAAGATTGACTTGAGCTGTAGCAGACCATGACGGATAGTTGGCATCATCCAATTTTGTTAGTGTGAGAGACTGGAGATTTCAAACAAACAGCTTTAATCCGATGGGAAGACGATCCATAGGATCACCGAAAAAAGGTGCCATCAAGTAGAAGAAAGACGCCGGCAACGCCGATCGAAAAGGAAGAGGCGGCGGCGTCTAAGGTTTTCGGCTTTTCCATTTAATTTTTTGTGTGTGTTTACAGTAAGGAGAAAAGAAGAGAGAAAATCTCAAGCTTCAATACCATGTTGAATTATGAAATGATAATTTCACTCAGAGAATAATGGTGTGTACAAGAGTGTATGCATATAGGTGTAGATCCTAACATATTTAGGATTCTATTTAATATAGAAACTGACAAATATACAAAAACTACTATAATTGGGATTACTATTATTATTGTCTAACACAAATCATATGGTTATTGCAAATTTCAAGAGCATAGCTATTGAGCTAAGCTCCCAATTATTGCAAAGGGGCGGCACTTTCAACCAGCAATTAGAATTGAGCTTCACTTCCCATCTTTTTTTAACCAGCAGCTTCCCCTTTTTTCTCCATGCTCTTACCCCAGAGGAATAAATAGAATCCCACTATGAGTACTGCCATCCCAATCAAACTGCAATCACATATGATCAAATTATATTAGAAATGATAAATAAAGTCATTATTACTAAAAAGATATGTATATAGGATATAATATAATGAAAAAAGAATATTTCGTAGCAGTATTTTATGATATAACGACCTTCCAAAGGAGATGGACGTGCCAAAGAAAATAGCTTCTGTGATGGCTACAAATACAAGGGACAATGGATTGAACATTGAAGGATAAGTCGGTCCCCTTTTAGCAATTGCCCAAAACACTAAGCAAAGTGTTGCTGCTGAAGCCAATACTCCCTAATATATAAAATAAAAATAAAAAAGTGACTCATCATCATATATACTACTCCGTATATGAAGAGTTCTAGGGCTGTAAATGGATAACCAAAAATTCAATTACCATCTGCATCTGTATCCGTTTATATGGAACATATCCGTATCCGTTAAAAGTGGTTATTATCCGTATCTGATTGCTAAACGGATACGGATTTGATAATCATGCATCCGATCCGTTTATAATCTGCTCCGCATTGACATCCTTTTAATTAAATAGCCGTTTATCTGTGTATCCCATCCGTTATTTATAGCTTTTCCTAATTTTTTATTTTTATATTTTGTTTCTCTATTTATATCTCAAAGTATAAGACACTTTTATATGCAAAATATATGTGTAGACACATAAAAATATGTGCAAAAATATAAAAATATGTGTACATATGTATTGTGTATATCTTTTTATAATATGAAATCATCGTAAAATATCATAAACTATAAAAAAAGAAATTAATTATCCCATAAAAATTAGAGTTGATTTAATAATATTTTGATTTTGTTTCATTGAAAATTAAAGTATCGTTTAATTTGGTTTTAAAAATGAGAAACAAATACAGATATATCCGGCATCTGACCGATATCCGGCGGATACGAATACGATTTTCATTTTCGGTATCCGTCAAGATCCGTATCCGTATTTGATATTCGACAAAACTAAACGGATACAGATTTGGTAATGCCACATCCGATCTGATTAATATCCGTTTACACCCCTAGTAATTTCTGTAAGGGGGGCGTTCAACTGACATTAGCCTCATATGTCATCCTATGGTGTGGCCCCCTTTGTGGTACCTACGATGTTTCGTTTGTAAAAATTGATTCGGAAGTAAACTAAATTTTGTAGTGTGCAATTTGAGGGAATGAGTGGAGAGGGGTGGGTTCGGGCCAGGTTGGGGTGGGAGGATTTAACGAGGAGGTGAGGGAGGTTAGTAACCATCAATTTTTCGAACGGAGTACGAACCGTAGATGCCACGGGTATCCTATGACATTGAAGTCCAATGTCATTTGAACCGGGTTGATTCTTATACCAAGTGTGAAAATACATAAATATACTTACTGAATAAAGGATAGTGATTAGTTGCAAATTCCACCCTAACTTCCACGACGCTTCTGTTCTATCAATGCAGAAACCTATTGCGGTGCTTTGAAATGTTGCCATTATGCATGTAATTGTGGTTATAGAAAACATGTATGGGAATTTTTTCCACAACATGGCCTAACCGTTGAAATATTTGAAACAAGGTTAATTACTTGTATTAAATATACTTAGGTCACATTTGGTACATGAAATTCAAACTATGGAATTGGAACTAGGGACTTCAATTTCAATTCTAGTGTTTGGTAGCACAAAAGTTATGTGGATTTGGAATTGATAGTGCAAAAAATGAATTGGAATTGACAGTATTCAATTCCATGGAATTGAATCTCATTGAATTTCAATTCCAATTCCACCAATTTCTTATACCAAACAGACTCTTGGGCTTCGAATGGTATTGAAATTCAAACTGTGGAATTGGAATTGAGGATAATAATTTCAATTCTGCCATTTTGTAGCAAAAAAAAAAATGTAGATTTGGAATTTGTAGTGCCAAAAATGAATTGAATTTGAAGGATTCAATTCCATCTAAATCAATTCTACAGAATTTTAATTTCTAATTCAATTCTAATTCCATCAATTCCATGTACCAAACAGACCTTATTACAAAATCAATGTGAAATTGGAAATGAACCCGGCCACACCAGCCAAATACTCCTTCCGCCTAAATAAACCTTTCCACATTTGATATTTATGGTAAATGTAAAATAATAAATGTACTCGTTTAAGAAGATAGTCTAAAAAATCTTTTCTATTTTGATTTTCTTGTCAAATAGTGACACTTTTGAATTATAATATAAATTTAACATAATTGAGTTTATTTTAGGATATAATTTTGATATATCAAATTTCATAACATTTATTTATCTAGATTATGTTTAATTTATAGATAAAGAATGTTACTATTCGACTAAAAATATCAAAACATACAGAAAAGGGTTTTTTTAGACGGGAGAGAGTAATTACCTGTGTAACGAACCATAAACCATAACTTAGACAGCTAAACGTTAAAAACACAGTGCCACGTCCCCAATTCTCATTCATTTGGTTGGAAACCAATTGATGACTGTGAGCATTTGACAGGTAAAACGTTTTGCCTTTGTAGAATGTAGTGGTTAATGCTCCAGCAAGGCAAAACACTGCTCCTATGATCTTTACCTTTCCATCCTTATGATTCCATCTTAGCTTTTCTATGCTTCAAAGTTGAGCAGAAATTATGTCATTATAATGCACACATCCATATATCTACACATACATATAATCTCTCCGTCACGGAAAACATGAGAGTTTTGATTTTGAAGAGGGATTTAAGGGGAGTCTATTTTGGTATTGAATTTCCAAAAATGACCTTTGATGTGATGGATAAAAATATGATTTGATGGATAGATTATTAGTAAAAAAGGGTATGATGTGATAGGTAGGGTATGAAAAAGTAAGGGGTAAAAATGACTTTTTAATAGAAATGAGAAGTGTTTTTGGGACGGATGAAAAAAGAAAGGAGAAAGGTTTTCAGGGACGGAGGGAGTATAAAACATTTTTTGGACCACAACCATAAGTAAGTTTGAGTCTTTGGTTGAGTTCGTTCCTTGACAACGTCAATGGGTCGAGTGACAAGAAAATAATTAAGAATAATACACACACACACTGCACATCGTCGCATACCGAAAAATTAACGACAATATGAAGGTCGCTATTGGAATGAGGTTGAGAAAGTTAGTAGCATATGTTGCCGTTGTATCTCGAAGACCATAGTAAAACAATCCTATTGCCATTGGTATCCTGCAAAGTGAAGCATGAGTTTCATGTGCCAAAAAATGAGAGCAGTTCTTAAAATCTTAATGTCTTTAGAAATTGAGCATTATTGTCAAATAATTAAGGAAAAATTATCTCAAATAATCCCACCTTTTCGCGCTCTTTCAAAAATAATCCCACTTTTCACTGTCACCGGAAATAATCACACCTTTTCGCATGTGTGCGAGTTTTGGGTCACCGTTAAAAAACTAACGGTCACTTAACGGAAATTTTGAAAAATGCCCGTTTTTCGCAAATAAATGAAAGGTGGGATTATTTTAGGTAAATTCTCCCTTTTTCGTTTTTTAATTTCTTTAAATGTATTTTTATTTTATTTTTTTGGGAAAAATACCAAATTTAAGTGTTTTTAGAGTGAAACTAATTGTTTTTTTTCAATAACCAATAATATGGTAATAATTAGAAAATAAATTGTTCTACACAATAGAGCTAATTTATTAACTTCGTAACTAACTACTCCCTCCGTTTGGAAAAAGTGTTCCTCTTTTGACTTTATGTAAAAATAAGGAAGTATTAAATTGTAGTTGACTTCCAATTTTGCCCTTGATGTGATAGGTAAAAGTAAGATGTGATGGATAGATTATTAGAGATAAAGTATGATGTGATAGGTAGGGTATGAAAAAGTAAGGGTAAAAGTGGTTTTTTAATAGAAAGTGGAAGTATTTTGTTGGAAGGGAAAAAATGAAAGAGGAAGTGTTTTTGATAACGGAGGGAATACATTTTTTTTAAGTTGCATTTACTGTATTTTTCTTGAGCTGCACTTCAAATTATTTTTTGATATTACATTATTATTATTTCTTAAAAAAATGGCACTACAAAACTTATGAATATTTTTTGATAGTTCTACATAAATATTTTTTGTGAAACAACATTACAATAGTTGTGAAAATAACACAACAATTTTTTTCTCTAAAATAGAACTTTTATTTTTATAACTCACTACATTTTCTGATTTATTGCAATTTTTCCATGAACACTCTGAAATTTTTATTGATAATCTTATATTGCAAAAAAAAAAATTTCTAGAATGGAACTACCCAATTTGTGATTTTTTTAATAATTCAATACAAATTTTTCCCCAAAATAGTAATTCAAAAGTTGTGAAAATGACACTATTTTTTTCTCCGAAACGGAACCCATAAATTTTATAAATCACTACAAAATTTATTAATCGTTAGACAAATCTCTAACAAGAGTGTATTGTTATATTTTTAAAAAATATTAATTTTAAATTCAAAACTAAAAAAGTAAAAAGTAAATTTTTCTAAAATAATTCCACTTTTCATTTATTTTCAAAAAACATGCATTTTCAAAAACTTCCGTTAAGTGGCCGTTAGTTTTTTAACGGTGACCCAAAACTCGCACACATGCGAAAAGGTGGGATTATTTCCGGTGACAGTAAAAAGTGGGATTATATTTGAAAGAGCGCGAAAAGGTGGGATTATTTGAGATAATTTTTCCAATAATTAATGAACTTATTAGAGCATGTACAGCCGCGAGTAAAATCGGTGCCACGCCTGCCACATCAGATGACATCCCCTGTTTGCAAGGCATGGAGGAAGCATTCCACCCCTTTTTGCGAGGCTTGTGCGTGGCACTTTTGTACCATTTTTTTTCTTTCTTTTTATTAAAATTGCGACAGGTCTGAACATTTTTTGTCTAGTGCTTGTCCGTCAGCATCCAATTTTTGAGTTTTGCATCATTCTTTTTCTTCCTTTTTTGGGTTTTTTTAATGAATAATATTTTCCCATAAAGAAGTAAAAATATTTTTATGATAAAATAAATAAGTAAAACAATTTAAAAATATTTTTGTATAATTTAATTTAAAAAATTTAAAAAAATAATTTCTCTTTGTACAATTAAAATCTTTACAAGAAAATGCAATGATTTATAATAAAAAAAGCACACATGGACTAACTAAAATATGTCAAAAATGTTAATATTGCCAAAAAAGATTACAATTATTTTTTAAAAAAAGATAAGTAAAATAATTTTTAGTAATTAAAATATATTAAAAATGTGTAAAAAATGATAAAAGGAGTGACTTGTCACTACAAGACATGCCACTCCACTCATGTACCACACGATGACTGGACTACTTTTGATTGGCTAAAATATTCCACGTCATCGTGTAGCATGCAATTTCTTACTTGCCATTGTACAAATGCATGCATCTAGATGCTTGAGGGATATATGGGATGGATCGGTGGAGGTGGTATAATTTTGATATTACTCCGTATTTTACCATTAAAAAATAATATCAAAATTACCCATTTGTACGGATGCCTTTTTTCGTAGTCGAAAAGTTTTTTATGGAACCGAAGAATTATACAGAGTAACATTTTTAATAAATAAAACAATTCTTTGTTTTCTTTGGTACAATGAAGAAAAATTAATAATAACTCTAGAATACTAACTAAAGTATTCCCTCAATTCTTTTTAAGTGTCTGATTCGCTTTGCGTGACAAACGTTTGACTAATTATATATATATATTCACTCGCCCCTAATTTGATTACAAGGGATACAAAATATTTCATCTTTTGAATAATTTTATTTACAAATTGGTACATCAATAATAGATAAAAAGTACACGTTAAAAAACTACATCAAAAGTTCTACAAAAGGAGAGGTGATACGAATATTTTATTTTATCAAATACTCAATAAAAATACACAAATAAACAAAAGTTATCGAAAGGAATGAGGAAAAAAGATTGTAATCAAAATTGGGAAGGAGGGAGTATATATAAATATACAATGAATTAAAATATAAAAATAAAACCAAATTATTAGTATGGAAAAATACTTTTAATGTACTAGTTTTAATAACTTTTTGATAATCTACTCCCTTTGTCCCGGAGTATTCGTCCAGTTTTGACTTTTGGAACTGTTCATCTAATCACTTTGACTTATCAAATTTTTTCAATGTGTAAGCCTAAATATAGTCATGTGTGATCTTGTTTGATTTGTCTTAACATATAGATTATTAATATATAATTTCTATAATTTTTTAATATACAAATTACAAGATAAAATGGATTAAAGAAGTGTATTGGATGGTGTGTAAAAATGAAAGTGGACAAATACTCTGGGACGAAGATAGTATATTTTAAGTTCTTCAAGCATTAGACTTGAAAAGTAAATCGGGCAGTTAAAAAGGAATGAATGAGTATATCCTACGATTGTGATTTAACTCTTCGACCAATCCTAGGATAGGGGTGTGGGGACACATGACATTGAAATTTAAGAAATCGCCGGTAAAAGGAATAAAAAATACAAAGTAGCACTTATCTTCAAAATAAAAATTTCATGTTTTTATTTGTAAAATAAGAGTTTGCACAGTGGCATTATGACATTGTATAGTAACATCCACTGTATTTTACGATACTATATATTGGCATTGCGCTCTTATTTTAAAAAAAAAACATGAAACTCATATATTCATAATTTCTCCATATTTTTACTCCTAATTTAGTCATTTTCCTTTGGAGTTTCACCCTTAGAAATTAATGGAGTTTACCCATTGAGGTCATATACTTACCCGAAAAGCGCAACAAAAAAGAGATGAACTACCACGCCCACATTGAGATTCTTCAGGCTCTCCCTGTCACAGGTTGAAGAAAGTACTTTGTATTAATTTAATTAAAATTGAGTGTGTGATCAAAGGCCGACCCAGAAACATTGAAAAGTGGGCTCTTCCTTCATTTTATTAGATTTAATTATTCAAATTCTAATAATAATTTAAATTAATATATTCACGAAATTTATGGTGAGCCATATTTAATTAATTAAAATTATCTCGACAAACCTTTTGTGACAAAACTTGTAAGAGCATGCTATATGTACCCCCAAAATTTGTACCTCATTTGTACACCAAAGTTATACACTTACATTTTGATGGTTAACACTGACACAAAATGTTGGTGCGTTAACAAAAATTTACACTGACACAAAGTGTTGGTCCGTTAACAAAATTTAGCATTACAATAACATAAAATGTTGATACATTCCTGCAGTGTATAAAATGGATATAAATTTTTGAGGTGGAAATAGCTTTATCCAGACTTGTAATGATTTGTATACGATTAATAAGAAAACTTAAATTGTGCGGCTAACTAACAATTATGTAGAGAGGAAAGGGATATGGACATATTGTGAATCAAATTATAACTTTCTAGAGCTAAAGTGATATATTTAAGAATAGAGATGCTTTCATAAAAAAACAAAGAGAGATGTTCGGTACAAACAAAAAAAACTAATGTTCTTCTTTGGAATAGTAAAAATGCTATTAAAAAAAGGACTAGGGGTGTAGAGGAGATTCAAACCCATATCTAATGTAACTTTACCAATTTTAAAAAGAGGAATTTAATTAAATAGCACTAAAACATAATGACTTTCTCTGAATAGCACCATATGTGTTTTTCTTCCCAATGTAGCATTGTTAGTCATTATGCCTTAGTCATTATTCAAGCAAATATTCGCCATCACTGGACATTATTAAGTGTTATTTAGAGAATAAAACAATTTTAGTGCTATTTAGGGAAATGACTTACGTTTTAGTGTTATTTAGTGCAAATATTTCTTTTAAAAATCAATTACACAACTAGTGCAATATTAACTTCCACGGTATACTCCCTCCATCCCAAATTATTTGCAACGTTTACTTTTTCAGTAGTCGCGGCAACTTTTGTTTATTTCTACGTTTTCATTGGTTATTTGATAAAATAAAATATTCTTGACACCTCTTATTGCAAATAACTTTTCATGTAGTTTTTTAATATGTAAATTTTATTTTTTATTTCTATACCAATATGTAAATAAAATGAATTGAAAAAACTTAATATTTTACCTCGGGAAATGCAAATATTTAGGGATGGAGGTAGTAATACATATACGTAGTATATACCTCAAACATCACTGGAGTCACTTGATTGCACTTGCACAAGTGTAAGGGGCTGTTTGCTACTCTTTTTGTCCCAAATTATAATGCATGTTCACTATTCATAGAGTCAAACTTTATTTACTTTCTTTCTCTATTTTCGTTAGCAATTTGATAAAATGAAATATTGTTGTCATTACTAGTTTTGTAGATCTTTTGATGTAGTATTTTGATATATAATTTTTATTTTTTAACTCTATACCATTTGTCATATAAAATGATTTAAAAATAACTTCAGTCAAACATCGTAAACTGAAAGAGGCGTTGTAAAATGCGACGGAAGAAGTAGAATACCTATCATAACAAATCGATGATGAAGGCAGGGACACTAAGGGGCTGGAGCGGGGGTTGAAGGGTTTTAGTTTAGAGGAAGAGGGTTACGAATTATTTTCCGACTAAACTGAGCACAATTACTAAGACCATTTCCAATAGCATACATCCAACCCAAATCTAAAATGCAGTAAACATCAAATCAAATACTCCGTAATAATTTATCTCCAATCCATTACACTAAACTCAAACTTAAAAAACATATTCCTTTCCCACTACTTTATATACTTTCTAAAAACTATCCATTTATTTAATAATAATTTTACATTTTGACCCCTCAATTTATTTCAAATAAACTAAATATTTTTAAAATATGTAACTATTAATGAAAAGAAAAAATAGAAATAAAATTACATTAAAATTTTTGTTAATTTTAGCATCAATAATTTTGTTTTTGTTTTTCATTCCTCTTTTTTATTGCTCCTTCTACATTAATTTACTTATTTCATTTTTTAGTTTTATTCTTAATTTATACGGAGTATATATCACACGGAGTAGTAGTAGAAAGTGATAAAACTAACTCAAAAAAAAGAAATACATTAAATACTTCAATTACCAAGGACCATCTAGCAAATAAAAAATGAAATGGAGAATAAAAACATAAATTGGATGAGTTTGAGATTGCAGCACCATTACATAGAAAATACTATTATGTTAGATTGCAATTTTAAAATATTTTTTATAAAAATAATTTATACCATCATTCTAAATTGTATCGAATATAACTTCACTCTCGTATCCCTCCGTCCCAAATTAAAAAGTTTGTTGTTGTTTACATGATTTGACTAAAATTATTTGCAATTCAATTTTATTTGAAAATTAGTAGAGAAATAAATAATAAAATTTATATATTAAAAAACTAAATTCAAAATTTGTACTCCCTTCGTTCTCAAAAATATTTCTTCTTTCATTTTTTCTACTTCCAATAAAATACTTACACTTTATATTAAAAAACTACTTTTACCCTTACTTCATACTTTTTTACTCTATCTATCACATCATACTTTTTCTATAATAATCTATTCATCACGTCTTACTTATTTCACATCACACCAGGGGCAAAATTGAAAATCAACTACAATTCAACATTTTCTTATTTTTACACTTGGTTAAAATAGGAACTTTTTTAAAAGAATGTTATGGTCCCTAGGCCAATTAGAAAATTTAGGCCCTTTTATTATATATTTAAAATGTAATCTAAAAAAGACAATTTTTAAAAATATATGATAATCATAAAATATATATTCTCTTTAAAAAAAACTTTGTAAAGACTTTTAGAAAAATTAACCACTTTTTATCCTATCACTAACTTCACCATTATTTAATTTTTGAGAAAAATAAGATTAAGAAAATTGTGACACGATTCTATTATAGGCCCAATGTCTATAATAATGTAGATTATCTCTTCATTTATTATCAAGCTTCTCTCAATTATTTGAATGAAAGATTAAATGGTGAAATTTCAATGAAAACTTCTGTATGCTTCTGATTTATTATCAAGCTTCTATCAATTATTTTGATAAAAATAAATGGTAAAAATAGCCTTAGAACTTTTCTTTTTTAAAGGTGAATTTGTCAAGAACCTTTTTCACAAATGATTTTTAGACCTACAAAATAGACAAATATTCAAATAAATTTATAATAAAACAATATTACCTAATACAAAAAATAGCGAAAATAGATAGAAAAAGTGGTTAAAAGTTATCATTGTAAATAGTAAAGAGATAACTTAAATTAGGACAGAGTGAGTACAAGTCAAAGTGTTGGGCGACACGCACAAGCCAAAAGGAAAGAAGGAAACTAGATCCTTCAAGGATTCAATTTAATTGAGTTGTTTCTTGTGATGAAAGCTTTTTAGAATTTTAGTAGGAATAGAAGTTATAGAAATTTACTTTTATGGCATTATCATCTCCTATATAAGGAGGATCTTCTCTTTGAATTAAAGGGAACCATATAATATACAGATTTCTTTCGCAATATTATCTTCTAACATGGTACCGGAGCCACTTTGACCTGGCCGATCAAATCGCTCGACTACCGCACGAAGATTAACAACAAGCATTTCGCCAAGGTCAGTCTTTATGAATTAAAATCTGCAGACGCACCTGCATTGGTTATCACCAAAACGGAGAATAACGATAAACAATTTGACAAGGTCAGTCCTTATGAATTAAAATTTGCAGACAACCTGCACTTGTTATCACCTAGATCAAATTGACTGGGGGTAATTATGAAAAATGGGAATGGGGTGTGAAAATTGCTCTCAAAGCTAAAAGAATATTTGGATTCATCAACGAATCCATACCACAACGGGAAGCAGAGGAAGACAAATATGAAAATGGTGGATCCTGAATGCCATATGTTGGTGTCATGGATCTTCGATCAACACAATTGACCCCTCTCTCCGAAATTCCATCAAATAGGTGGGGGAGGTGGCCGAATTATAGAAAGGACATCAAGCACCGATTTGTGGTCTCCAATGGACCCCGAGTCAATCAATTAAAGAAGGAACTGGCAAATAGTAAGCAGAACGAGTAACCAATTGTCTCATATTTTTCTAAATTGAAAGATATATGGGATGATTTGAATATCATTGAGAAGACACCGGTGTATAAGTGTCAAAGTTGCAAGTGAGGAATTACCAAGAACATTGAACAGGAGAATGAAAACGAGAAGGTACATCAATTTTTGATGGGATTGGACAATGAAGGATATGGAGGTCTGAGAGCAAATACTTTGGTCGTAGAGCCGTTGGCCCCTCTCAATCGGGTGTACTCTACTCTCATACAACAATAAGGCATCTTGAAAATCACTCACGAAG